AAATGAATGATGTAAATTAAGGGTCACATTCAGGTGATTGAAATATATGTAAAAAGGAAATGAAATAAAAGTAATTTTTACAACATTAAAGATAATAGGAAATTTTAAAATAATTCTAGTCACTCTTATTATCATAGTTCCCTTTTCAGTCCTGTTTTAAAACATTCTACACTGTTAGATTGTTTATATACAGGAGTTAAACGCTTTGAGATTTTCAGACAACTGACCTATATTCAGCCTGCGTCCCTACTGAAGTTACTTAGAGTTAAACGCTTTGAGATTTTCAGACAACTGACCTATATTCAGCCTGCGTCCCTACTGAAGTTACTTAGAGTTAAACGATATGTGATTTTCAGACAACTTACCTATATTCAGCCTGCGTCCCTACTGAAGTTACTTAGAGTTAAACGATATGTGATTTTCAGACAACTGACCTATATTCAGCCTGTGTCCCTACTGAAGTTACCTAGAGTTAAACGCTTTGTGATTTTAAGACAACTGACCTATATTCAGCCTGTGTCCCTACTGAAGTTACCTAGAGTTAAACGTTTTGTGATCTTCAGACAACTGACCTATATTCAGTCTGTGTACCTGTGTAATATTGACTATTTATGTTTAGATTAAAGAATCGTATTCTACAGTTAGAAGAAGACTGTAGTTTAAATGAGACAAGATTAAAACATGCTCTAATTAATCAAGATGATACAGGTGATACATTACATCATAAAATACAGGTAATATCTTTATTCTTATATCTTATAATAAAACTAAGTACTAAGAATATATTATAAGTTGTATTATTCTCTACACACGTCGAATTGAAGGCTCAAAATTTGACAGTGAGCTGTGAACACTTTTACTGATTGGCTTAGCTAATGTCCCTTCAAGTGAGTAAGTATTTCATAATGAAAAGTGGTATCAGGTGTCTAGAAGAGTAAGCTTACCCTGCCTTGCACAACACCACCAATGTTGCTCAATATTTCACACAGTATTATCCTTTATTTAGCTTATACATCATATATATATTTGAGAGTA